TGCGATTGCGCTATCTGCCGAGGACGAAAGCTCACAAACTATAATGTAGGAATGCGCTGCCGATCGTACAGCGGAGCAAAACAAGATTTTTGTTAACATTTTACATTGGCAAATTGTTGGTAGGCACATCCCAGACTTACTAAAAAAATTGCTATTTTTTCTATTTTGGCGGATCCGAACATACACACAAGCTCTAGGTTTTCTTCATTTTGGATATTTTAGGAACACATTCGGTTCTAAAATTACACACACGGATAGGTGTAATAATGTAAAGCGCGACACGCATTTTCAAGATGTATTTTTGCGTTGGGGAAATGTTAATGAATATGACGGGTTTTGCTCTTACCCAACGTATATATTAATAAACACTGTATGCTCAGTGCTTATTCGAAAGCTTGCGACAAAAAAGTCACAAGCTTACTTAGGTGGGACTCTGAGCACTGAGCATACAGTATTTATTAATATATGCGACACGTATTGTGCAAAAACCAACGATGTTTATCCAATTTTGGTGCAAAACGAATCGGGATGACTTTGAATTACTCCTTTCATTTTCACTGACCTTTTCACAAAACCTGCCCTTCCAGTGACCCACGGGAGATGTAGTTGGATACACATAGTCTACATAGCGATACCAACACAGCCTATTCGAAAACCCATAGCGCAAAAACTTTATGAAGAGTGTTACTCTATGGCTTGTGTACTTTACCACCAAATCGAATCTATTCAGTGTGTGGAGGGGATGTGTCATGCTCACGAAGAGGAAATAAAATTGAAATTTTCTACACCATGATTTTATGCGAATGAAATTAACAGCAGTCCAATGTAATCAGTCGACACAGAAGGCACCTAAATTGTCTCCAAATAATTATTTAGGAAAGAGTTATTGCACCAATAGAGATTACTTAAAGTTGTAGTATCCGGCGGCGTTTATGTCAAAATCCGTATTTTCGTTTGCGGTCGAATTTTAATGATTGTAATGACCTTGTCTCTTGTATCTAGAGGTCTTTGTAGAGTTTGTAGAGTGGTTTTATTAGTGCCCTACTACTACGCTCCACTTCAGTTTTAAGCCCAGATTACCGATATTTTATTAATTTATGTAAAGCAGAAGCAAAGCTTTAATTTACTGCAACTTCCAGCCCATGCTCTACGCCATGACTGCTCCATGTACAGGGTGTCCACATAAAAAGTATACCGAGATAAAATTACTGTAATAGCAAAACTACTTCATATATGGGAAAGAGAAATATATCTCTAGATCTCTCTATCTCTATATATCTCGGCACTGTGATTTACAAGGTTAGAACATGCAAGTATGCAGAATACCAAATGCCTTTGCTTTAATTAAGAACTGTGAGAAGTTGGATATTGATAACAAAAGACAGCATGTGGGGTGAAAGCGATTTCTTTTAATGGCGTTACCTGCAGAACCAAATTTTCATTACACCCTTAGCTAATGTTCAGGAGTTAACGTGCAAGAATTGTGGAAGAGGTCAACAATCCCCGTCAAGACATGAAATGATCCGACGAGCAGTAAGGGACATGTTATGAAGATGTCAGATGTGCATTGACAGGAATGTTGGCCATGTGGAGGACTTAGCACATCAAACTGATGAGGTAAATAGCAAAAACAAAGCAGATGAGATTGATTTAGGTACATTCCTTGTTTTCAAGAAGTCTAGAGACCTAAACAGTTCGGTGTACAACAGACAGAGGCGACAACAGACTAAAATTGACAGCAAATACTACAACACAAAAAAGACCATAAAGAATTTTAAATCTATAAATAATGCTTTTGGAATATTTAAGTTACATTTTCACAACGAACAAAAAACAAAAGACATGTATTCGCAACTAGCACATGCCTGGAATAAATGATAAAATGTAGAACATTGTTGTGAGAGATCATTATTGATTGGTTGTCTCTAGAGATTGATTTCTGTTTGTCTGGGCCCTGCTTTTGTCTGTCTTTTAGATGATCGCAAAACCGTGCATCTTTATGTACCTATACATACACACTACACACACTGCACACATGCACGGACGTCATAGAAAAACATCTGGTTTTGCTGTGGACTCACCTTCCACCTTGAATTCTTCACCGTTTGGAAAATTGAGAGTGTTTATTGTTAGCATTTGTAAAGTTTCGCCATACATGTTTGATGTTAAAATAGAACGTGTCCTTTTGAAGGAACCTTTGTAACAGGGTGATGTCACTTTACTAAAAAGTCAAAAAGACATTTGCGCAAGCAAATATCTCAATTGCTGCTTTGTTGCAATCTTAACTAACGGAGGCTTTCATTTATTGTCCAATGATAGCGATAAATTTAACAGAACGTAACAAAGCAGAACCAAGTTACAAACAGGTGCTCGTTTCATGTAATTTGATGACTGATGATGTCACGGGCTTTTGATGGATTTCCTGTCGATCCGATCAGATGTTACGCTTATTTGTGGATAACCTCTGGAGACTGCCCCTTTCAAGTGGTGTCTCTTAACCGATGACGACGTCATCACCACGATAATTTTCTCATTGTGAAATAATGCAGTTGCAGCGATTTAGTGTCAATTAATAAATATTCAATAATTAATAATAAATCTTATATTTTAGCAATAGGTTCTGTACACTTGGACATCATTGCCTGTAGATCAATTTAAGCATGCATGTAAGGACACAAAGTTACATTTATGCAATTTGAAATTTAAAGAGTGAAACTACGGTGCCAGCAAAGTCCCACAAACATTGGCAAATTAGCAAAGAGATAAACATTGTGCACAAACCGCTGATCAGTGAGGTTTTCCTTTTTATGGTATCCAGATTATTTTTACGAAAGTGTGCATACGGGCAATGCCTGCGACGTGTCCTGGGCAAAATTTGAAATTTGAGACAGCTCCACAGTTTTGTTTTATCCTTAAAATTAAAGTGCATTTGCTTGTTTGAGATCGAAACGGGTTACAGTTACATGTGTTAATATCCTGGATAATAAAAGTCACCATCATCCACAGCAATACGTTCGATGTACATACGTTTGCTTTTGTCGTTTTGGAAACGTATATTTACCTATCGAACAGCCTGGACGGTTTCACAAGAACGTGTTGCTGCTCTAGCTTCAAGTCCGTTTAACGAGGCGTGCCTTACTGGTGTGACAGGAGACCGACATATTTTGTGACGAACCCAGTAGACCGGCTCAGTCTGATCATGGATGGAATTTGAACTGGCCTTATCTCACAAATATATTTATTCACTTTGCCCAAGGATGGCGGCTACCAGGTCGCAAGGGGATAGTAGTTAACAAATGGTGAACTAGGGCTGCTCGTTTTAGTGGAAATATACCGCCGATCTATAATCACGGCATTGATTCTAGTGACAATAGAGTTTTATAACTGACTTAATATAAGTCACAATGAATCCCAATAATCCTCAAATTGACAAATTATGCTGAATGATAATTACATGATTAATTACAAAAGAAATTTCCCATGAAATATGCAAATAAGGCAGGCGCATGGCAAAAATGCTTAAGTCCATAATGTAGGAATACAATTAAATCTGTATGTGCGTAACTATCAGCACAAACACGCCATCAACATGAGTACAGAAAAGGCACTGTTACTTTCCGACCTCAGGACACTGAAAACCTCATTTAGTTTCAAGGAAAGTGTGATGAAGTATCGGGAAAGGTTGTTGATTGACCTTCAACGCGATAGGTTCATCCTAGCTATCCTACTCTGCCGACAGTAATGGTGGCTGCGCTTGCCAACGGGTGGTGGTAGCACGCATGCGCATGTCTAATTTGCATATTTCATAGAAATGGTTTATTCTAAGCTACAAGGTAATTAATTATGTCCAAATGACCCTCACCTATAATAAACCACACGTGGTCAACTGCACCACGAACTCGTAATAAGTAATCCTTAACCAGAGTGACCCTTACAACTACCAAGGTAACCCTTACACACTTCCCGTTACTCTTATACATAGGTTAACGTGGAGTCAACTAAGAAGGCGAATAAAATAATCCTCACGGAACCCTAAAGGAACAACACCCAGTAACTTCAACAGGGAAAGCTGAGCCTACGGAGCAGGACCGCACTCAACCGCAGCTACGCCAACAGACATAGAACAAATGGTATCCAATCCCTTTAAGTCTTAGCTTTGCCGATCCCCCATATGACTGGTTCACACGCTTTCCTGTGGTATAATCCTACGCTTCGTAGATAACCCAGACTGTCCTTTTACAATCCACCCAAATCTAAAATGAGACCTTAACAACTTGCAGTTCCAAATACGAAAGACGATGCTATAACTTCACTGACCAATCGCCCTGGAGTTCTCCTGATTCCCTGCAGTCGTCACCCATCATATTAGCCATCTCTCAACTTATCGCTGCCAGCTCACAAAGTGCTCAACCAACGCGACCAGAGCCCAGATCTATCGTACAGAACTGGTAGAAAATTGAACTTGCCTTCAACGTTATCATTCTCGGTTAAGACAGCATTGTTCAAAAGAGGCCCGGTGAAGTCAGGAAAAACTCAAGCAACATCGGTCGGCAGGTTGAAAAAAATAAAAAAAGCTTTTCATTTGATGTAAGGCAAACTTTAGCCAAACTGATTATATTTCCCCATGCCTACTTTCATCATCACGGACATGGAGTTCAGTTTTGTACTGCGGAGCCCTTTAATAATTTTAGTCAATTCCTTCTAGTTTCTTTTCCAGATGTTCACGTAAGAAAATAAAAATGACGGACGTGACACCAAATACACTTCGTTAATTTAAGGCAGTGACTGAAAGCATACAGCCTTTACTCGTGTTGAGGACAACTTGATTATTCACGGATGTCATCAATCTTTTCTTCGGTTGATTAAGCTTTCCACGAGCAGCGACACCAACGGTACAAGGGCGATGAATCCCAAGGCGACAAAAGCCTTGTCGTAGCTTCCAGCCTGGTCGAATATCCAACCTGAAAAGTAGGCAAAATAGCTTACTTAGAGGCGTATCCTGCCGAGAAAGGGTGGGGAAATATTTTATTATTATTTAGATATTAAAGGAACATTTCCCACTCTGCCCGTCACATGTTCCAAACGCCCTCAAGTAGCTGGGAATGACAACGCCTCTTGTACTGACGTCCACAAAAGCGTAGCTTCAGGGAAACATTAGCCAAGGTTAAACCAGCGAGTGTCAACCGAAGAACAAAGCAATTTGGCCTGAGGTCAGGGCTGCAGATTCCAAATGTACTTTAGGCGTTGCGCCCACAGTGTGCCGGCCGGTATCTGTACAGGCCGAGACTGCTTGCCCGTTTTGAGGCAGATATGATCCTCGGCCTGTATTACTGCCTTTTTCGTCCGGTACGGGCCGGTCTGGCCCGTCGGCATATCACAGTCGCTGAATTGAAGGCTTACTTCCAGGCCCTCCACATGAATAATGAAGATTTAAGCGGATTAGTGTCAACTGCGTTAACAAGCTAAATTTCTTGCTTGGAGTGGTACGTGTATCTTTGTCGTACAGATACCTTGAATGAAAGCATGAAGGAATAGGTCAAAGTACATGCACAGGTTTCATAATAACTCATTACTCTCCTGGTTCACGGTCTTGATCCGTCGATTTTACGAAAGTTTAAGGATCTTATGAGAAAACGTTTTCAGTTTAGGCAACATCACTGTGATTCTATAACTCTTTTTTCCCGGGCCATTATTTGCAAATCCGCATCACCACGGTCTCAAACGCGAGAATGAAATCGACATACGGCATTCGTTTGTTTTAATCGGTTGCAAATGGCAAAAATGATACCAGCTTGCACGTGCTTACATTGCACGTTAACTGCAGGCTTGCTGGAGCGCCGCGAGGTGTTTATGCACAGTACGTGGTCGCTAGTGCATTCAACATGCGCTGTGGGTTTGTAGTTCCACCATTGTTACGGTGGCTTGTTTTCCGCAGTCCTCTCCCTTTTACAAAACAAGTATAAAAAACACACAAGATAACCGGAAGAGTAATTTTAACACGATGAGCCACTCGTGTAATAATGGACCAAAGGAAACAATTGGAAAATGGTTTTTAACAAAGAAGGACGAATTCAACCGAGTGGAAAATTTACTATTGCTTAGAATGTTCTGAGTCCAAAGGGTATTAAAACTCGAGTATCATGCTCTGAACAGAATGAATAACCCCAAAAAATGATATCGGCCCTCAAAACTTGGAAATCTACACGAAGGGTCTTTTGTATTCCAATATGGTGGAGGGTGGTGTCGCAACATCTTGCGTCACGTTTGGTGACAATTCATGCTTCCGTACTTATTTAAGGTCCAAAAAGGTAAATTCACCATTATGCTCTGTGCCGTAGTCTGAATAACCCCAAACAGTGATCGTGGCCCACAAAACTTGGAAATCTACATAAAGGGTCTTTCCGTCTATGACGGCTGTTGTGTTTCAGTTGACCGCTATGTACATTTTATGAACAAGCCTGATGTGACGTTCCCTGTCAGCTGCACTGTTGAAGTCCTAGTGACACTCGGAGTTGCAGACTCCATCTCCTTTGAGCGTAGGCCTACTAGCGAGGTTGTCGTCGAGTGGTTGCTCCTTCAGCTTTCCAGACTGGGCTTGTGATGCTAGCTCATGCCATGTCCGAAAATGACATGAGTGGTGGTTAGATTGCCTTGGTGTCAAAATACAGCCTCCGCCGAATTCACGTAGAAAAGTCATTAGCCTCTTAGCGCGGATTGGACTTTTCATGCAGTGTGTACACAGCTGGTCTTCGCACTTGATTAACTCGAGTGTAAAAGTCTGTTGAACAGGGTGTTTCGCCAGAAATCTGTATTCTTCCGCAAGGCCAGATTTTCTTAGATTTTTGATGAAATTGCGTCACTGAGTTCTTCGACTAGAGCTTCGTCTTGGTAGATGTGTTTTGAGTTAATCGCTACAACTGGAAATGAATCAAAGATCCTTCCGTGAAGGCAGCGACGCACGTCTTCGATTGCTTTATCAAGAACAGGCGCATTCTTCCCAACGAACACGCGAATCTGCAATGTCACTGCATATGCTTTGAATACTTTAAATACTTGTCTGATTTCTCTTGTCTTTTCTAATTTCTTATGGTAAGTGGTGTTTAAAGGAATAAAACAGTACATGTTATATTTCAATTAACTTAAATTTGACTGTGTGGTGTTTTGACTGTGTGGTGACAGACAGATAGACAGACATAGATTGATGTCGGTCGCACATGTCTCGCACGATTCAACATACTGCTGAATATCTGGGACATAGCAGGCCAAAAAATGAGGTCTCGTGCTAGACGCAGACAGGTGTTAATACCTAGGTGACCGGCATGTACCTTTTGCTTCATGTCATTGCACATGGAGAGAGGAATGCCCACTCGGTAACCACCGAGGACAATGCCGTCTTGGATAGTCAATTCATCGCCATAGCCTAAGTACAGAAAGAGAACTGCGGGAACATTCTGCTTTGTGTCAGGCCAACCGGTCTTGATTCTGTCCATCAGGCAACTCAGCGTTTCATCAGCCTTAGTGGCTGTGCGTAGATGGAATAGCCGGTCAGCGGAGAAGGGGGTGCGCTTGAGGTTAGGCCTATTCACAATGAGTTTGTCCTCTGCGGCCATGTCACTGAGTGGTGCACGTGACAGTGCATCAGAAAAGTGAACTTCCTTGCCAGGACGGTAAATAAGCTCAAAGTTGTATACCTGTGTGCGAAGCAGTAGGGATTGTAGGCGCCTGGGGGACTTGGACAGAGGCTTCTTGCTGATTGCAACAAGAGGTTTGTGATTAGTGATGACAGTCAGGGTCCTTCCAAAGGTATACCGGTGGAATTTCTCTAGACCGAAAACAACAGCTAGCATTTCTCTTTCGATCTGAGCATAGCTCCGCTCGCTGGAAGTAAGGAAGAAACTGGCAAAGGCAACAGGTTTACCTTCTTTTAGAAGGGCAGAACCAATGGCATAGTCATTGGCATCGTTCTCAAGAGTCAGTTCTTTGGCCGGGTCGTAGTAGTGGAGAGTCGGCGTAGATGTGATGGCTTGTGTGACCCTCAAGAATGCATTTTCCTTAGAGGAAGACCGCTGCCCGGGTATCTTACGCTTCAGAAGGTTGAAGAGGGGATGGGCCATGCCATTCAGGTTGGGTACGTACCCAGGAAGCGGCGAAGTTGTTCCAGGTTTGTCGGAGGAGGAACTCGGTGATGATGGCACGAACCTTTCCAGGGCCAGTCTGCAAACCATCTTTGCAGATGATATGGCCCATGAATGAAATTGTCTCCACATTGACGTGAAGTTTGTCGCGGTTCAGCTTGATGCCCTTTTCAGCGCACCTTTTCAGTTACTTGTCAAGATTGTCGTCATGTTCTTGAGTGATGCGTCCGTGGATGAGCACGTCATCGGCTATGCATTCAATGCCAGGGGGGCCTTGCAGCGTTTCCAGTAGACCTGGGAGGAGACAGAAGTACCGAAGGGTAGGTGGAGCCAGCGATAGCGGCCAAAGGGGGTCTGGAAAGTTGTGAGGAAACTGGACTCCTCAACAAGTTGTTTCTACTTCTCCTTTGGCGCTTATGATATTGGTGCCAATGTCGCACGTCAACCGCAGTGTTGCAATCCTTGACTCTGTAGTTGTTGCCACACTTGCAGCAAGGTCCCTCTGTCTTGCGAAACACTCTTCTGTCGTTGATGGGCTTACGGCGCAATGCAATGCACCTGGAAATGCCATGACGCTCTTTGTCATGAAACAGCCACCTGACTGCTGTCTTCAGCGTTGATGAGGACTTCATGGGAGTTGACGTAGCCATCACTTCAAAGGATGAGCCGGGGCTACGGTGGTTAGCTGCTCCGTGTTTCTTGTGATCTGAGAGGGGAGAAGGGTACAGCACTGGGTCTTTCTGAAGTCTTGCATTCACTCTGATGAACTCTGTCAGCTCAGAGAATGGTGGGTAAATGCCGTTTGCAACCTTTTATTCTGAAGCTCCTTCCCTCCATGCATTGTGTGGGAACATGGGGAGTTTCTCAAGAACCAGGTGTAGATTTAAGAAATAATTCAGGATCTGCAATCCAGGAAGATCATTCATTTGGGCAGCAGTATCTGCGCAAAGGTTTGCAAGTAGCGATGACGGAAACGGTCAACAAGTTTTTTTCTCTGACTTCCCCTCTCGTGTACTCAGCCAAGTAGGCGAGCTTCTGTATAGCTGTACTTTGGGTCAGTCCAACCATAGTCTTGAAAGAGGACAGTCATGGCTTGAACATTATTGAGTTCCAACATAGACATCAGGATCGTGTGCAGGCTGTCTCTGGCGTCAGCAAGGTCCTTTAATTTGTCAGGTTAACTACTGAAACATCTGAATGTCGTTTCTGGGCGATTCTTATAATGGAACAGCTCGCAGTGAAGCCAAAGGGGTGTTTTGAGAGGAATCAATATCCACTGTGGCTGGCTTAAATTCTTAGGCTTAGGGTAGGAGTTTGATGGTGATTTTAGTGTTAGTTTCAGCTTCGATAGTGGAACGGAACAACAGAGCATGGTCCTTCAAGGTCTGGTAGAGCGAAGTTAGACACCCGTTCTTTTCTGGTTGTGCCTGTATAATGGCGTTTGAGCGAGCTTGTTCAATGGCTGCGGCTCGCTTCCCCTTCAGAATTCGGATATCGGCTTCAACTGCTGCTTCCCGTGGCTGCGGTTCCATCTCATGCCCTGCCTGCTCTATTCAGGACTCTGTTTCACGTCTCACCTGCTCAAGTTCTCTCTGGGCTTGTTGGAATTTCAGTTGCGACGAACATCTGGCAATAAGCTCTTCGTATGCTTCGTTCTCAGGTGTTGATGTGGCAGATGTCAAGGCTTGGGCCTTGGCACTGAGGAGAGAGGAGGAAGACGCCTTTTAGGTGTTGACTGCAAACTGTGTTTTTAACTTCTCGATTGGCCGGAAACACTGGATTTTGTTTCCAGTGCAAGTGAATGTGCTAATTTTGTGTCGTGGGTGATAAGACTGTTGGTATTGTTGCTGTTTTCTAGAACAATCGGCTTAGCTTGGAGTGCATCTGCTTTGAGCGATTAGTCTTGAGCAATTAGTCTTGACTCAGGGCCTGCTGAGTTGCCCTCCATTGCTGCTTAAGTTCTTTCTCCACTCCTTGAAATGAAGCCAAAAGTGACTTGAGTGTGGGGCGTCTTGCTCGCTGAGGATGGCTTTGCAGATCTGCACTGTCTTGAATGTCTGCTTCTTCTGACCCACTTTTAACGGATGGGGTTAAAGACGACATCTTTGGTGTTGAAGGGGGTTCAGGTTTGTCGTATAGTTTATGTTCAATAAGACCAGTTCATTTATTTGTCACGGTCATTTCACAGTGCTAGCGTCTGCAAAGGCGTAGCTTCAGGGAAATATTAGCCAAGGTTAAACCAGCGAATTCAACTGACAAAAAACTATGTGAACAACATAAAATATTATAAATATACAACAAGATCATCAGGCAGCAGATTAAACCAGAAAACTTCCTGTATGGGGATATTAAAGAGTCTTTAGTCCACCCTCCCCCCCAAAAAATGCAATAAACCACATGGAAAATCGTCTTCAGAAATGGTAAGAAAGTGCTTGCTTACCGACATGATTGTGTTTCTGGAAGAGGTGTAAGAGGATCACTGGTTTACCGCATAAAGGTTGTCCGTGTAACAAAGAAAAGACTCATAAAACTGCTGATATTTAACGAAAAGGGGCAAACAAGATGACTGCCAAAAGAGTGTGCTCCAGGTCAACAAACTATTCCACTCGAACTAGGGAACATGAAGAGCGCCACCAAGGCTGAGGAGTGGAGAAGAGTGCCAGAGCTGTTAAATGTGAAGGGCGCCACCAATGTCCTGTAATAAATGATCATCAGGACCAATACATCTCTAATAAAATTGCGTGAATGAAATACCTCAATTGTCACATAATATGAGGGTTCTTATTCTTCCAATTCTTGACCGGTTCCCGTCCCGTACGTAGTCTTCAGACGTCTTACAGATGTTTTCTGAACGAACGTAGCACCAGTAGTGTGGAATGAAATGGCAGAATCCGGCTACATAGCATATTTTGCTTTTCCTTTTTCGTTATCGAATATAACTTCACTTTAAATTGTTCCTTTATCTAAAATTTAAAACAATAACCACTGATTTGAATTAGACAAAAGGATTTCCCAGTGACAATACTTTAATTAAACCTAATTTACGTGTACCCTCTAATGTTAATGCACAAAGAGTTCACGTACGCGCCATGCGTGCCATACGTACACAAACCAACCAGCCTTAGCGCTGAAACGTATTTAATGTTAAAGCTTTTCTATTGGCCTGACAAAAACCTATATATTCAGAATCATAATTAACATGGCTAATTGCACATGGCAGCAGGTAGCTACCGAACCCTCTATAATAGGGCCAGTCCATTCTTGATCTAAGCATGAATATGAACTGTACTTCGAGGATTTTGTCCCCAAATACAGTAATTCTTTGCAAGGTTGGCAATGTTAAGCCAACACGATCGAAGTGGTAAAATGCCAAAGACAGGTCGTTCCAGTTACCTGCGTATGAAAGATACCAAGAGAGGTGAAGAGACCAAATTCCATGGCATTATGAAAAAGAAAAATCATACCAGAAGATAAAACTATCGACTTTTCAATGCATGTGTAAAAAAATCAAGAAAAGATAACTTGTCCGTAGAACAGAAACACAGGTACCTTTGCTGCCTTTAATCATAAAAGAGCCGGGTTGGACCCCCAAACAGGTTTCTGATATCTCTGCAGAGCGGGAGTAGAGCCGTCAGGTGTTTTAGAGTAACTCTTTGCAATCATTTTGACACCATTTATGTCAAAATCGAATGGGTCAGCACAAAATGTGTGTTTTTCCCACTACTGTGCATGAACTTCAGGATGACTGCAACATCAAAACTGAACTGCAATTGATTTCAAATGTTCCATCTATAAGTATTACGATCGTTTTTACATTCATACCAAGTTTCAACCAAAAAAAAGAGCGTGGCAAAGCCCCCAACTGTGAGATGGACCCCCCGCAAAAAAGGCTCTTTTCAGTGTAAAGTCATTCTCAAGAAGTAAAAGCTACGTTTTTAGTACGTCTTACCAGGGAAAAATCCGAAGGCAAGTTGACTGGATGCTGCCAGAAGATCCATCCAGCTGAAAGCGGATACCAGTTCCTCAGCTCCAAGCAGTTCCCGGGTGTATATGTCACTTAATGAAGCTAGTGCTCCATTGAAGCCATGGAAGAGGAGGGCATTGACCATCATCAACCAGTAAGAGTTCACCAAAGGAAGTGTGGACAGAGCCACGCTTGAAGTCATGATTGAAATGAGCAAGCCAAGTCGCAGCTTCAGCCAACCTCGGTCCACCACAAATCCAATAAGAATCTTGATAATCAGGTTCCCTATTCCTGCGGCCGTGGTGAATGTCACGGCCTCGTACCCAGAGAAACCTTTGGACTCAGCGTAAGAGACGAAGTATATCATCCAGAGGCTACTCAAGAACATATGGTCACTGTAAGTAAGCGTTGCAATCCAGAATGCAGCGCGACTGCAAACCGTGCAGCCAAAAAGATTTCCCTGTGCCTTCACAGTGTCCTTCAGGATGCGGAGTCGGGATTTTTTCTGAGCATTTGAGCTTGTTGGTGTGTCTGTCTGTGGCTCATCTTCACTGGAGATGATCGGTAGGTAGTTGTCCCGTGCCTCCTCGTGTGCCGGTCCTTTCAGCAAGAAGCCACACACACCAAGATGCGTGCTGATAGCCCCAAGCAGTAGCAAGGCACCTCGCCAGCCATAGGTGTCTAAAAGAACTTGAGTCAACGGAGCAATGGCGATCAAGCCCACAGAGTGTCCTGAGGTCGCAATGCCGTTCACCGTAGCGTAGTTTGTGGTGAAATAACGACCCGTCATGGCTCGCGATAAAACATTGCTGATCACTAATCCAGGCCCTGGGGAAAAAAAGAGGCATGCAGAACTTCAAAATTAGTTTGTTTGAAGGTTATACACGTGCTCACAACATATTTTAAAGAAAAAAAACAGATTGCTGTGTATCACGTATAAGGGAAGGGTAATTACTAGAATTTTCTTTTGCAAAGAAAGACTAGACACCACCCTGAGGAAGGACTAGATATCTGATAATTCGGCAGACCTCGGTCTCGGCGAGCACTTCTCCAAATTTTCTAATAATTATATTTTAATTAAAGAAAGCCTCTGTGTCACACAGGATTGTTTTGGGTTTACCAATGCCGTCAATTGGCTCGAACGCGTCAGGGAAGGTCGAGCAACCACCACAGTTAACCATACTTTGACCATCATTGTCCGAAAGATGGTTGAATTTGAACATCTTTCGAGCAGGGCCAGGGTCACAACAGCTCGTTATCAAGAGCCGATTTCATTTATCAAAACGAACAGAACCACCTGCATGACACGTACTGCGGGCTTTGTCACAGCTAAAGGCAAAATGTCATCAACGGTGAGACTCACTCATCGCTTGAATGGCCGAGTGGAACTGCATATCACGTTCTCATTGTTCATAATCAATCTAACACGCGGTCAAACTCTACGCTGCATCTTAACTTGCCGTTCACACGAGGAAATGCATGTCAACTCCTGACACTACCTTCAATCTTCTTGTAAACCACTTGACAAAAAGGTCTTGAGCCTCTTGACGAGAACAGTCAGCTAGAACCTTTGAAGGTACTGTTCATCGATACTCCGCCCATTGACGAAGGACACAGAAGGAGTTAAAACTCTGGCACATAAAAGTGCTCGATGATCATCGCCGCCCGGTCAGACGAATAATAGTGAACATTCCAAAAATGCCTGATTACTGCCTGTAGCTTAGCTTTTGGGCCAGTAATATTATAGCACCATTTATGGTGTTTTCTTTGCAATTAACTACAACTTATGGCAGTGACCATGGAACAGAAAGAAGAAATATATATCATTAGATATTTAGAACATTTTTGTGACTGTTTTGATGCACTTCTCCGTTATCCAAGCAATGTTTGTGATTCTTTTATTTCGTCTCTCCAAAGTCTCTTTCCAAGTCTTTTACGAATTTGGCTAAGACTGGCCAACAACGTGTTGACCACCACCTGACAGTTAAGTTCACGAAAAACAAAATCCGCTGTTCCATCACGAGGAGTGATCATGAAATTTCATAAATACCTTTTTGTGTAAATTCCGTCATAAAAATTGTTCAAATAGAACACAAAATCCAATAAACAACTTTGGCTATATATTCCCGAAATAATTCCAGAACAAAGCGTTCAATAAGGGTCGTAACTGCACCTAAACACTTCAGGTACACAGCCTAATAAAAGCAAATCTGCAAGCATTACATTTGGTGGTGTTGTCAGATCATACCAACACCAACGTTGGCAGGAATAATCAACTTCCTAACCTGTAGCGTACGACGTTTTAAGGATGCAGATACTGGCGAGAAATTTCGGCAACGATCATGGGGTACAATGGGGCTGATGGTTGTGAAGCGGATGATACGCAGCGTGCATTCGCTCTGCTCTAGCTATGGACATACCGGGCATGCCAGAAAGCGGTGATTGGCCAGATGTTGTAACCGGGGTAGTTCAAACTCCTTTTGTTTCCTACCTCCGTATAAAGCAAACGATGGGACAGAGAGAACCCCCCCCCCTTGGGTTGGTCTTTGGGATACTGGTATCTCAGGAATTCTTTTGAGACATCTGGGGGATGTGTTAAGTAACAATAGGCAAGAGTGTGTATAGGGATTAGAAATATTGGTATACCATGCTCCACTGAAAAGTGAGCAACTGAACTTGACTGATCAGCTTGATAACGAAGGTTGGAATTAAAATAAAGAACATACCGGCGATTAAGGATAGGGTAAGTGTCATCTGGACAGTGGTGGTCGAGAAGGATGAGACGATGACAGACGCCCCTAAGAGGAATCCACAGACTGTGACCACGATACGGGTACCAAATAACACCTCCAACGGTCTGGATAACGGACCTGCATAGGATTTACGGAAAGAGTAACTGGCACCTGCCAACTCGCAGTAGAGGAGACAGTGTGGGATGCTCACCAAGAGTTTGGATGGCCTATTTGTGGAAAGCTGCAGTGCCTATCGTGTGACACCCTCGTGTTCTAGACGATGCTATATAGTTCAAACCAGAAATAAAATTTCCCCAAAATACTTTGCAGAGAAATTCAATACCATGGAGTGTCAATACAACACTGCACAATTTTATTTCCACACCAAAGAGTGATCGTTGAAGACGACACTTTTAACAGTGTATCGTTTACTGTTCTGTGCCACAAGAAGTAGGTTTGCACTCGGGCCGATTTCAAGTTCTTTTCAATTACATGTACACACAGCGTCGCTACCCAAAGTTATGAGCCTGAGGGAAAGCAAGATATATTTATGATATAAAAGCAATTTTTATTCGACAGTATGTTCCCACTGAGTATTTATAAGCACTTGTACAACCATGTTACGTTTGAAAATGAAGTGTTCCACTTTGACCTGTCTTTAGTTAATCTGTCCCCCTATTACACCTAGTTTTGGCAAATCCGCAGTTTTTTCGGGGGGGGGGTGGGGCTACAAACACAACCATTTTTTTTTGTTTTGGAGACCATAGTGTTCAGAGAATTCACCCTATGTTGGCAACAACTGTTAAATTGCAACACTTTCTTCATGGGTGTCAGAATGGATTCACTTTCGGCTTATAGTATTTCGTTTTTATTAAATAACGTTTAGATTAAATTGCTTTGAACTGCGCTTGTTACGTAGCCTAAAGAAAGGTCTATTACTTTTTGATTAATTAAGGAGAAATAAAAGCACCCTCAGTAACCTTCACATTATAACAAGTGTCAAGGACGGCAAATACACAGTGCATACCTGCGAAACTGCCAGCACCAGTAATTGTCGCTATCAATCCACCAATCATCCACGTGTCTGCCATGAATTGCTCTTGAAGAGTCGGCAGCAGCACCCCTAGACCTTTGAGGAGTCCTGTCCATAGCAGCCAGTTGACATGGACACAGAGTACGGCATACCAGCCTGCGTTACCACACTGAGAACCCATCTTGAAGACTTGCCTCATGAAGAGTCACCTACTTTTATGACGCCACACTGATGAACGGTAGGCTCCATGAAACGACGGTGTGCTATATGATTTTGCTTGTTCTGGTAATATTGTATTTTTGTTTCGTCTTCACAAGACAACGACAACCACAACTGTTGGATAACAATTCATAACAATTGTATTTTCATCTCTTGAAAAAGTGGCACATTTCCTTTTAATGGTTTTACTAGGTGGTCATGTTTTCAACCTTTGAAAAAAAAGACAAAGTCTCTGGAAAGTACTACTTTGAGGATATTGTATTTTCATCTCTTGAAAAAGTGGCACATTTCCTTGTAACGGTTTTACTAGGTGGTCATAGTTTCAACCTTTGAAAAAAATGACGAAAAAGACAAAGTTTCTGGAAAGTACTGCTTTGAGGATGTTGTATTTTCATCTCTTGAAAAAGTGGCACATTTCCTTGTAATGGTTTTACTAGGTCATGTTTTCAACCTTTGAAAAAAA